CTGCAACTTCAAAGTGAATAGCACCTTTGACTTCGATGACTGAAAGGTGAAGAACATGGTTATTTTGATGGTATGTTAATAATCAGGTCTAGTGCAGAAGCCCACCACCTGATGGTACATCAGGGGGAGAAGACAACATCAAAGAGGTCACTAAGGCAAAAACCCAATCTTTGCCCCAACTGACACATCTTCACCATGCATAAGCAGAAGACAGAACCTCACTTTTTAAAATTTAATACAAAATCATTCATGAAAAAAGCACCATGTAAAGCATGTATCAGTAATTAATGCCTCTCAAAGCTGGAAAAACCTGACTCCTGTAGCTGCATTCTGCACTCAAAACAACACAAACGTACAGCAATACCTCCCGGAAACCACTCTAAATGTTCCGTATTTACACTGATACCATGGCACAGATTTGACCAAACACTTCCCTGTGTTAGTCCCCCTTGTTATAATTAAAGCAGAGAGCTATTTTTATTTCTACACACCACCACAGGTAAACTTTGACAGCAAGAATATGAGTAAGATTTCTATATTACCTGCAACTATTTGAAGATCACTTTCAATCATTCCCAAAACCGGAAGGCAAAGAAACATTGTCCAAATGAAGCCAAACATGCTTATTTATGTCAAAAAAAGTCCCAATATGCAGGGGGGGAAAAAAAAAAAGGAAAATCCCTTTCAGCAAGAGAGCTGCTGTCTGTAACGTATTCTTGAATCAGCCAAGAGCATTGCCCTTCTTGAAAACGTCTTGTCGTCACATATAATTACCTTTGGAACAAACATTAGGTTAAAAAAGCCAACCAAGACATCCTGGGAATGTTCTTTTCAAAGACAGTATTCCGCTTCAGTGAAGAAACAAGGAAAGGTGATGGAAGTAAACTCCTTGGAGCTAGCAGATGGACTGAGACAATTTTTTAATTTTAATCTGGCCAGCTAAGCTCTTTACCAGAGCTTGTCATACCATTAACAGCCAGTCCAAACAAGGACAGCGCCTTTCACATTTAATTAACCACGTTTCTCCATTGGCCCGTCAATTTCTGCCCGTTTTTAAAATCAGGCTGACCACAAAACATCAGAGGGAGCACACTCGCCTCCAGTGGAAGGTCTCAGCGTGTTTTGTCTTCTGCTTGTACAAACATACGTATCCAAAAACGCACTGACGCACTTAAACACCGATGCGCATGTAGGTAACACCGAAGTAATCTTTCCGTAGGATTGTTTCTCCTGGTGACAGAGCTAATACAGCCCAAGTCTATGCTAAAGCAGAAATCTCGTGCTGCTACACCACTGCCCCTCGCACCCCAGGAGAGGTGCTTCCCCCAAAGGTAACGCCAGGGCAAGCTGTGGCTCTCATCTCTGTTCAGGTCCTACCTGACATGAGCAGCAGGAACGAGTCAGGACAGGCACCTGAAGAGATGATGAGCTACCAACAACTGCAGAAAGGACAGAGTGCAGAAAGGCAGCAGCAATCTCAGCTCCCTCCTGCCCGGGGTCAGCTTGATGTGGGAAAGCAGATGGAAGTTGCATTGGGACCACCAGACAAGCCCTGTCAGGGCTGCCTCCTGGGTGGTATTAATCACAACTTGCTGGTTACCACATTCAGATCAAAAACTCAGCAAACTCCTCGTTTGTCTCTACTGACTATTTTTGGTAGTGGTTTTGCATACATATTTCAAAGCTGGACTCCCAAGGCTTCTCAGATGACAGTGTGCAGAGCATTTACACAGAGCTCCATAGGTATTCAGTGCTGACTCCTCTTCCAGCTGCCTTGCTGAACACCAGCAATCCAGACAGCACTGCTAATTCCTGGTATTACACATGGAACACTCACGGGAATCAAATAAAACCACCTTTGGTTTTAGGTCCTGTCTTCCAACATCTAACAGACTCTAGTACGTATTTTTCAAAACAACAACGTATTTTCCTTCATTTTTTGCACAAAACTAGTAAATTACACTTTAACTTTAGCCACTGAGCTCCTGTAACACCCCCAAACAGTTTTTTTTAGAATCAGACATTTTGGATCTATCAGACCTGCACTGTTCATCTAGGCTGGCTCTGTCATGCTAACTACAATACTGGCAACAGCGGCACCAAGCACAGTACAGCACACTGGGGCTGTAAATCCAATGATCCTGAAGATACGAGACACAGGAATAACATTGCACTGGTGCTCACAAATTGTTTCAAAGTCCTATTCAGCATCTCTAGGTGGAGAGAGTAACTTTAAAGGCTAGCTGAGGTCCCTTTACCAGAACCCTGGATTCAGCAACACAGAACAGCCTTTTTCTAATCCTCTGCAGAGATAGAAGATGCTCAGAGGGCTGGAGCACCTGTCCTGTGGGACAGGCTGAGAGAGTTGGGCTTGTTCAGCCTGGAGAAGAGAAGGCTCCGGGGAGCCCTTATTGCCCCTTCCAGTACCTGAAGGGGCCGACAAGGAAGCTGGGGGGGACTTTTTACAAGGGCCTGTAGGGACAGGACAAGGGGTAACGGGTTTAAATTGAAAGTGGGGAGATTTAGATTGGATATCAGGAAGAAGTTCTTCCCGGAGAGGGTGGTGAGGCACTGGAACAGGTTGCCCAGAGAAGCTGTGGATGCCCCATCCCTGGAAGTGTTCAAGGCCAGGCTGGATGAGGCTTTGAGCAACCTGGTCTAGTGGAATGTGTCCCTGCCCATGGCAGGGGGGTTGGAACTGGATGGTCTTTAAGGTTCCTTCCAACCCAAACCGTTCTTCATAAAGCGTCACTGATAGAACTTCGGGTTGAGAGACACATACCGGGTATATACCTCAAAAGCAGTAAACAGGTCTGTCTTACACTTAGCTCACTGGGTATTTGTGACAGCTGGGAAAAGAATGGTAACAGTCATGTTCAGCAACTTCTGGAGATAATTTTAATATCAAACGCATCAGCATTCTCAAAGCACATATCTAACAAATCTACAACGGCACTCCTTTAATGTTATAAAATCAATTTAGAAAAGTTTATACATGACTTTTGCTTTTAAATATATATATAAACCAGTCAATCTAAAAGAAGAACAAATTACTTTATGATAAAAACTAACTTTACCATAAGAAAAAAAAAAAACTCAAACTGTTTGTCATAAGGAAACACTGAAAATATGCATCAATTAAAAAGGTGTAGAGAAAGGGCACACATTTCCCCATTTTCTCTTCCATGTGACTTACAATAAATGCAATTATCCCTGCAAGTAATGCTGATGAGGTGACATAGGTGAAGAAAGCCACAAAACCTCTGGGATGAGAGGGCCAGACGGGGGTGGAGGGGTAGTGAAAAACTACCCCATTCAAGTAGACACAAAGACAAAACCCACACAGTAATTGCACTAGGCTGCTCACAGCTATACAGAAGGTAACTGCGCTCAGCAAATTGTTTTAAAACTGCTTCTCTTCTCCAGAAAGAATGCTTCCTGGTCTGAGAAACAATGGCAGGGGATTTTTTTGGATGACTGTACAGAACCTGAAGTAATAACTGGATTTTCCTACTGCTATGTTTCAAAGTTGTCTTGAGGGAAAGGGACCTGAGAACCCTGCAATGCCATAAGAACGTTCACGTCTTTGGGTTGTCCTCAATTTTCATTTAAACTCTTTAGCCTATTCCCAGCTTTAAGAGCTCTGGTTTGGTAGATATGTGTAAGACACAAGTGGTTATCTGACCCATGGTCCCCCTGAAGGGTGCGATGAGATTTGCTTACTTACGGTGGAGAAAGCATCCTCTTTACAACAGTCACCTTCTATCGTGCAGTAACTATAGAAAAAAGTGTGCACATGTCAAAATGTTATTGAAGTTTTATGTGATGACTGAGGAAAAACTAAATAAATACGTATTAAGACAACGATAAACTTGTGCTAGTTTGTCAAATCGTCTGAGTTCAAATACTCAAATATGCAGGCAACTTTACTCCATTCTCCACAGCAAAGTATAAATCTTGTTTGTTTTAAATGTAAATTACATATCTTAAAGACATATTATATATAACATACTGACCTTTTTGAATGAAAATGGCCTTATTTTTCAGTAAAACATATCAAACCTTTGAGGTTGTTAAGCCACAATGTCACTTGCCTTTCTAATGCAAGTGATGCCATAAGGTTCACCGGTGTAACTCCCAGAAATAAGGCAAACAGGAATTAAATTCTACTGCCTACATGTGTTGTACTGGCATGTAATTTGAAAGCAAGATTTATTCTAAAATCTGTTTAAAAAAAAAATCATATTCAATACTTGAAAAAAATCCATTCTCAATTTGAAAAGATCTCAAAGGTCACTCTCAAGCAGAAGTCTTATATTCACGGAAATAAATTTTTATGATGAAAATGCTAGAAAAGGGATGAAAAAAACCACACACACAAAAAAACCCCAAAACAAAACAACAAAAAAACCTCAGCAGCCTCAAATCTTGGCAGAATTTTCTGACACATGCACACTACTTCTGTATATAATCAGAAAAAAAAAAAAACATCTCTAAAGAGAGTCAATATTAGATCCTTAAATTAAAACAATACATAGTATTCATTCTATCTGTATGAGCTGCAAAATCAAGAGAGACAGTATAGGGTCAAATTCTTGTCTCCAGGCCTGACTCCTACATGATCCTCTGTTAATAAAGAACTGTAAAGACAGGGTCCAAAAGATGAAAATATTTTTACACCCTTCTGGCACATACCTGTATGCGGCTGTCATATCGCAAGTCAAGAATCAATTAGCAATCCATGTGTGTTAGCTTTTAACTTACATATTTACACTTTTATCTACAAGCTTCTCCTTTCCCCCCCACAGCTGCATTCTATGACCACACAATGCAAATGAAAAAAGAAAATCTTTAAATAAATACACACTGAACAAACACAATACCCCTTGTGGGTTTTTTTTTTTTCTTCTTCTTCCTTGCAAAGCGTAAGGAGCTGCTAAGCAGAATTCCAGTTACTTTATACAGCAATGTTCTTTGCCAGGCCTGGCTTATTAGATTTATTAGCTACTGCTGCCACTATGCTGTTGAAAGTGCAGTTGCAAGATGAGGTCTCGAATTTCTTCTCTTTTGCTTCTGATCAGTTGACGAGGGAACCACTTCTCCAGCTGCAGTGGCTGTTCAAAGTTAACGATGGGATCCTGGTAACAGAAAAAGGAATATTTACAGTATGAATTTCTGAAAGCAACCTTCAAAAATAATTTCAAAGCCCTCCATTACTGTTGAGATCAAGGAGGCTCAAGCAAGTTTCCATGAGACAGTGACAGGCTTCCAAGTCAAATTCCAGTTCCTCCATGGCAATCACATACGTACCTACCCTTGCCACAAGTTAGTCATGGTAAACTCTGCACAAGGTTATCACCACTTCTCATAAAAACACATCGGTACCAGCACATATTCAAGGCATATTCCATGTACTGTGAGAGAGCCAGATGCACTCCTGGTATCTAACATGGGACAGGCATACCTCAGTCACAAAACATGAGCGTAGTCACGCTATAGGGAAGAATCCAGCATGCAGCAGTTAAGCATGAAGAGGTTTTGTTGCCTTAGGCACATGTTTTCCTGTCATGAGTTGGTCTGTCTAATAGACAACAACACAGAAGCAAGCACTGCTAGCAGTTTTAGCCAGGACACGAGAAGGGGAAAATTCGGAACTAAAGAGGACACCAAACTGACATGGCTGAGAGACGCTGGCAGCTTAGGCAGTGTATTGGGTTTGCCTGCCGAGGTAGTGGGGGCCTACAGGGGTGGCTTCTGTGAGAAGTTGCTGGAAGCCTCCTGTGTCTGATAGAGCCCAGTGCCAGCTGGCTGCAAGATGGACACATCGCCAAGTCCATCAGTGACAGTGGTAGCAGCTCTGGGATAACATGCTTAGGAAGGGGGAAAAAAGCCCAAAACAGAAGAGGAGATTTTGCAGGCAGACAGAGAGCAACATGTGAGAGATAGAACTCTGCAGAAAGCAAGGTCAGTGAAGGAAGGACGGGGAGGAGGTGCTCTGGGGCAGAGGTTCCCCCACAGCCCGTGGTGAGAGGGCAGGCTGTGCGCCCTGCAGCCATGAAGGGTCATGGAGCAGGGAGCAGAGACCCCCCTGCAGCCAGGGGAGGGCCCCACGCCCGAGCAGGGAGATGCCTGAATGAAGCTGTGAGCCTGTGGAAAGCCCATGCTGGAGCAGGCTCCTGGCAGGACCTGTGACCCCCTGGAGGACCTGCACTAGAGCAGGCTGCTCCTGAAGGACTGCAGCCCACAGGAGGGACCCATACTGGAGCAGTTCATGAAAAACGGCAGCCTGTAGGAAGGACTACAGTTGGAGAAGTCTGCCACTCAGGCAGAGGAGGCAGAGAAAAGCAGGAGTGAATTTGAGCCCAGGAAGAAGGGAGGTGTGGTGGAAAGGTGTTTTCAGATTTGTGGTTAGTTATCTTTTTACTCTGATTTTGATTAATGATAATTTTTTTTTTCCCCAAGCTGAGTCTCTTTTGCCCATGATGATGATTGCTGAATGATCTCTTCCTGTCCTTATCTTGAGCCTTTCATCATATTTTCACTCCCCTGCCCAGCTGAGGAGGGCAGTAACAGAGCGGCTTGGTGGACACATGGGCTCCAGCTGGGGGCCACAGGGCAGTAACAGAGCGGCTTGGTGGACACATGGCCTCCAGCTGGCGTCAACCCACTGCAGACAGTAAGACCACAACACCACATCTGATTTGCCAGTCAATTTTTTCCCTCCTTCCCTCTACATTTTTTTTTTCATGCTTCTATTTCACTTTCTCCTTCCTTTGAATAAATAGAAAAAGCAAAGCAAAAAACACATCACAATTTGCAATCTATGAGCCCTGGTATGTTTAGGACAAATTAGCACCACCTTGTCCTGGACTTGCTTTTGCAGGCAGAACATGACACCGCTCTGTTAGAGAGCAGGCAGTTCAAAAGCACTGGGCAAGAGTTTGATTTTCCACCTACACAAGAGCTCAACTCATGTATCACAGAACCAAAGAACAATTGAGGACTGAAGGAACGTCTGGAGGTCATTGCGTCCGACCACCCTGCTCAAGCAGGACCTAGAGCCAGTTGCTAGGACCCCGTCCAGACAGCTTTTGAGTATCTCCAAGGAGGGACACCTCACAACCTCTCTGGGAAAACTGTACCAGAATTTGGTCACCCTCACAGTTTAAAAAAAAAAATAAAAAAAAAAAAATAAAGCGCATTTCCTTACGTTCAGAGGGAACTTCCTATTTGCATCCACTGCCTCTTGCCCTGTCACTGGGCACTGCTGAAAATAGAGGGCTCTGTCCCTTCTGCACCCTCCCTTCAGATATCTGTATACATTGAGAGGATCCCCCTCAGCCTTCTCTCAGAGTCCCAGCCCTCTCAACCATTCTCTCACAGAAGAGATGCTCCAGTACCTTAACCACCTTGGTGGGCCTTTGCTGGACTTGCTCCAGTAGCGCCATCTCTCTCTTGTACCGGGGAGACCAGAACTGTACATAGCACTCAGAAGAATCACCTCCCTTAAACTGCTGGCAACATCCTTCCTAACACAGACAAGGACACTGCTATCCTCCTTCGCCACAAGGTCACGCTGCTGGCACGAGTTCACCCTGGTGTCCACCAGGACCCTTAGGTCCTTTTCAGTGCAGCTTCTTCCCAGCTGGGTGTCCCTGAGCTTACACTGGTGCCTGAGGTTGTGATTCCCTGGGTGCAGGACTCCACACTTCTTGCGGAACTTCATGAGGTTCCCGTCAGCCCATTCCCCAGGATTTCAAGGTCCCTCAGGATGGCAGCAGGACCCTCCAGCATGTCAGCCACTCCTGCCAGTTTTGTGTCATCTGTGAACTTGCGGAGGGTGCACTCTGCCCAACATCCAGACCATTAATGAAGATGTAAAACAAGACTGGACCCAGTATTGACTCCTGTTGTCAACTGCTAGTTGCTGGCCTCCAGCTAGACTGCCTGACGCTGATCACCATCCCCAGAATCCATCCAGTCAGCCAGTTCTCTAACCACCTCACTGTCTGCTCATCCAGCTCATACTCCATCAGCTTTTCTATGAGGGTTTATGGGAGACAGTGTCAACAGCCTCACTGAAGTCCGGGTAGACAGTGTCCACTGCTCCCCCGTCACCTACCAAGCCACTCATTTCATCATGGAAAAGTTATCAGGTTGGTCAAGCATGACACGCCGTTGCCTTTGTGAACCCGTGCTGACTGCTCTCAATCCCTTTCTTGTTCTTCATGTGTCTGGAAATGGTTTCCAGGATTATTTGCTCCATCATGTTCCCAGGGATCAAGGTGAGGCTGACCAGCCTGTCACTCCCCAGGTCCTCCTTCCTCCCTTTTTGGAAGATGGGAGTAACATTTGCTTTCCTCCAGTCCTCTCCCAACTGCCATGACTGTTGAAAGGCTATCAGGAGTGGTCTCACAATGATACCAGCCAGCACACTCATGCATGTCTCCAGAGGCCCGCTGGCATCTCTGCTTGACTTCCTGTTTGTTTGAATGAACTGTTCTTTAGCTAGGAGGTGTTGTTCCTGGAGTATCAACCAGTCTTCTTGGTCCCCTCTTTTCTCCAGGGCCTTATCCCATGGAACTCTTCCAAACAGATCCCTGAAGAGACCAAAGTCCAGGCTTGTGATCTTGCTTTTTTCCCTGCTCTTTCCTCTCATGATCCTGAACGCCACCATCTTATGGTCACTACAGCCAAGGCTGCCTTTGACCTTTACATCCTCAACCACACCCTCCTTGATCGTATGTGGTCCAGCAGAGCACCTCTCCTCAATGACTCCTCTATAACTCAGGTCAGGAAGTGGTCATTGTTGCTCTCCAGGAAGCTCTGGGATTGCTCACATCCTCCTGTGTGAGGGTGGTTAAAGTCCTCCACTGGGACCAGGGCCTGTGAACGTGACGCTGCTTCTAGATGTCCCAACTGCCATGACTGTTGAAAGGCTATCAGGAGTGGTCTCACAATGATACCAGCCAGCACACTCATGCATGTCTCCAGAGGCCCGCTGGCATCTCTGCTTGACTTCCTGTTTGTTTGAATGAACTGTTCTTTAGCTAGGAGGTGTTGTTCCTGGAGTATCAACCAGTCTTCTTGGTCCCCTCTTTTCTCCAGGGCCTTATCCCATGGAACTCTTCCAAACAGATCCCTGAAGAGACCAAAGTCCAGGCTTGTGATCTTGCTTTTTTCCCTGCTCTTTCCTCTCATGATCCTGAACGCCACCATCTTATGGTCACTACAGCCAAGGCTGCCTTTGACCTTTACATCCTCAACCACACCCTCCTTGATCGTATGTGGTCCAGCAGAGCACCTCTCCTCAATGACTCCTCTATAACTCAGGTCAGGAAGTGGTCATTGTTGCTCTCCAGGAAGCTCTGGATTGCTCACATCCTCCTGTGTGAGGGTGGTTAAAGTCCTCCACAGGGACCAGGGCCTGTGAACGTGACGCTGCTTCTAGATGCCCACAGATGGCCTCATCCACTTGTTCTTCCTGATCAGGTGGCCTACAGCTGATGCCCACTATGTCACCCCTATTAGTCTGCTCTTTAATCATGACCCGTACGTTCCCAGTTAGCTCTTCATCCAACCCTAGGCAGAGCTCCATGCATTCCAACTGCTCTCTCACATAAAGGGCAATGCTACCTTGTCATCTTCCCAAGCCTGTCCTTCCTAAAGAGCCTGTATCCATCCATCACAGCACTCCAGTCACATGAGCTATCCCACCACACCCCCGTGATCTCAACAAGATCATAGCCCTGCAACCACACACAGATCTCTAATTCCTCACAT